TTTTTCTCTTCATTGCTTGTTAATCTTCAAAAGCTTCGTTTTTGCTTACGTTATAGTATGCAGAAGAACCCAAGGCAAAAGGATTTTCCATGGCCATATTTTTAGCTTTAGAAACAATTCCAGTGCCCAGTCTGTAATTTTAATAGCAATACAAATAATTCAGAACATCTTATGTTAAGTACCTTCATATTTCAAGCCACAGGTTTTGTGCTGATGCTGAGGAAATGGAAAGACTGCAGTAGGTCTCTCTGACCATGAACTTGACTCATGAATCATGGGCACATGAGGGAAGGGGGAGGAAGCCTAAATCAGAACTCTAATTCTAAAAACTACACAGTGATTAATGTCCCTTGGTACCTGGGAATCCCTAACAATTGAGTGCTTGTGCTAGAAGGACCATATCCCAGCTTTTTCCATGGTTCCCACCAGCACCACCATGGTCAATTCCAATTTCAGCGGAGTCACTGTTGCTGAGCAGAAAGAGAGAAATGTCCCTTGGTTGGAAACATTCCAATTTAGAACTCCCAATAATTTTACCATTAAAACAATGCTAATGCAGTTGAAATAGTGGTAACATAAATCCACATTGGATATGTTGTTGTTAAAAACTTTGAGGCTGGCCAGGAAAACAATTATTGTGTTACTGAGAAATATGTATTGAGTTCCCAACATCTGATCTATAGGAGTTTTTTGGAATGTGCTGTCTGTATGCCTGGACATATCTACTGCCCAGTGAGGGCAGTCAGGCAAGATGAGCTTTGTGAAGGCCTAGATCTTAACTGACTTGGCTCACTACTGGATTCCCACTAACCTACACAGTATTTGGCACATAGTATATGACCAGAAATTATTTGTTGAATCATTGAATAAATTCTAAGGGTTGGAAGAGTGACTCCAACTATCTCCTCAGGCTAGACATGGGCATTCTTATATTAACACAACAAGCCATCTCCAGAGGAACAGTATTTTTCTTGAAATATGGTAAAAGTTTCTCAACAGGAATTCTATTATATTAAAATATTAACATTGTCAGATCATGCACAATGGAGTTTTCTCTTTACTAAGGGTTTAATAGTTTACCAATGAATAGGCTCACAGGTCCAATTTCCTTCTACACATTCTTATCTGCCATTTTTAAAATTCTCTAACTTCATCTGTTTTCCTTCATCCCAGAATTGTTCTTGTTGGCCTTCCAGAGACTTCCTCATCTTCCAATAACTTCTCAGATTTAGATTGCTTAGTTTCCTCCCAGGGTCATCATTATTATTGGATCATGTTTGCTTCCACAGTAACTTCATGCCTGGCCAGCCATGGTGGCTGGTGCAGGTCTAGGTAACTTGCAAGGGACTGTGCGAGCAGAATGATCAAGAATAAGGCTTCAGCTGGAGCCTCAGCCGCAGACCTAGAACAGACTTCGTAGTAAAGCAAAAGGTCAGAGCCAAGCAAATCCAGAGGCAGAAGCGGAAAAGTTGCTGAGTGACTAGATTCTCCTCCAGGCTCTGACAGTTTGAGACAACCGAATATCACAGCTGGTTCTGTAGGCGGGAAGAAGCTCACAGAGCCCAGGGGGAGACAGGGGAGCAAGAGGTGCTGGGGTGTGCACTAGGCGGGCCTGGAGACCACCTCTGGCTGGGATCACTACCCGGGGATTTTGTCATGCTGGATAGCGTCTAGTTTGTGGTTTTGTTCATAGTGCCCCATGGCTACTCAATTATGTCCAATTTTTATTACTATCTCCTTAGGAATTTTGAGAAGGCTGCCTGGGAGATCATTCCCCCAGTTCCTAATATTGGTGAGACATAGAGCCCTTTCAGGTGACTAGAAAAATTAGCCATTTCACATATAACAACGATATAAAAATAAACTCACTTATAATATTCCTAAATAAAAACAGACGTTGCTTAATGACAAGAAATATGATACCCACAATTCCATTCTTCAGTTTCTTGGGCTTACAAGTAATGTTCCCACAGATGTTTTTGGAGTAAGTATTGGTATCTATACAATACTTGACCTTAGGGAAGCCACTTTTCTAGTTCTTTATGTGTAAAATGAGGACTATAATAATACCTACCTCATAGGATTGCACAAAGAATAAAGTAAATGCCTTTACTGCTTTTGCATAATGTTTGGAACAGAGTTAGAACTCAGTGATAGTGGCTAGCATGAAGGTTATTAAATAATGAAATTCACCTTGGTATGGGAATATATAATTATGAAAATCAATGAGCATGTAATTTAAGACTAAAAAAAAAACTAAATTCAAAGGATGGAACGGTGGTTACCATAGACTGGGTTTGAAGGGAAAGGGAGCAAAATTTTTTTAAAGAAAATACAATGGTGGTTGCCAGGGGCTGGAGCGACAGTTGGTGTTTAAGGGTAGAGTTTTAGTTTACAAGATGAAAGAGTTCTGCAGAAGGATGGTGGTAATGATTACACAATAATATGAATGTATTTAATGCCACTGAACTGGGTACACAAAAATGGCAAAGATAGTCAATTTTATGTCACATGGATTTTACCAAATATTTTTTAAAAATGGAATAAAAAGGAACATTGATGATAGAAGTTTATGAAGATGCATTTCTGTAGCTCCAACACATAGACTGAAAAATTCTTCTTTTCCTGACCAACCATGACTTTAAAAACATTCCTTAGTATTTTTCTGAACTTGTTTTGCCCAGGAGGCTTAGCAGTGCAATAGGACACTCCACTTGGGGAACCCACTTCCACGCTCAGTAAGTAACCCTAAGAGCACGACAGCTACTTTTGTGCTAACAAAACACCAATTGGTAAAAGCATCGCTAAATTATAAAGATAATTGGAGACTTTGAAGTTAATTTCCTTAAGTTCAGATTTGAACCATAAATAGCAAAATATAATGACTCTTGACTAAAAAAGGAAAACAAGCAGTCTTTTATGAATACCTGAGCACCAAAAACAGTGTCTAGAGAATTTACTAGCCTATCAGTGCCATTTCAAAATAAATAAACAAAAACAAGGAAATCACCTATGTCCTGGAGGTCATCTGCACCAGGCTAGGGTATATAAAGGGTCCTGAAGGGATGGAAGACATTCACACCTGAGAACACCCAACTCCTCTCACCAGTCCAACCCAGCCCAGCCCCAGACACCACCATGACCGGCTCCTGCTGTGGCTCCACCTGCTCCAGCTGTGGGGGAGGCTGCTGCCAGCCCTGCTGCTGCCAGCCCTGCTGCTGCCAGCCCTGCTGCTGCCGAGACCCCTGCTGCTGCCGCCCCTGCTGCTGCCAGACCACCGTGTGCCGCCCCGTGACCTGTGTGACCCGCTGCACACGCCCCATCTGCGAGCCCTGCCGCCGCCCCATCTGCTGTGACCCCTGTGGCCTGCAGGAGGGCTGCTGCCGTCCCATCGCCTGCTGCCCCACATCCTGCACAGCCATTGTCTGCCGCCCCTGCTGCTGGGCCTCCACCTGCTGCCAGCCCATCTGTGTGCAGGCGCCCTGCTGCCGGCCCCCCTGCTGCCAGCCTGCCCCCTGCCGCACCACCTGCAGGACCTGCCCCTCCTGCTGCTGAGCTTTGCATCCTCCCTAAGGCCCCTCAGTAGACGACCGGGTCCATCCTGCTGTCCCTTAGCTTCACTGCAGAACAACGTGGCTTTTCTTGAGAAGACCATTTCTCATTTCTTCAAATAGCTCAGACACTGGGGACACCTTTCCAGGCTAATTACCAATGAAGAGCACCCTGTCTTCTCAAGATCCTGGTCTAGCTGCAAATCATGGTGTCTGTTTTCTAATAAACGTTGTGCTCACAGCATAGGAATCATGGTCTGTGTGATATTTCCTTTCAGTGGATTTCTGTCTCTCTGTGTTGACCAGAGAACTTCAAAACAAGATGCCAAATAAGCCTCTTACATTGTTTTATGCAATAATCTACATCTGCTTAGTTTCCTTGTTATCCTTGTAAACGGCATTTATAAGGCCCAGGAGCTGATGAGGAAGGTGGACATGGCTATATTTTCATCACGTATAGAGTTACTTGTGCTCATTATTCAGACACACAAAACACCTTCCGAATGATCAGTAAGGAGGCTGCTCTTGTCTGACATATAGAGTCCCAGTCTGAGGGTTCTTTCACTGACCTGGCACCTGTTAGCTCAGCATAGAAAGCCCAGTACCTTAAAGGTAAACAGAATCTTAGGTGACATCTGGCCAATCATCTGGTTCTGAAGCTGAGGAGCAATGAGAGATTAAATAAATTATGACTAATATAATTTTAATCCTATATATTAAAAGCCTAATATGCAAATTGACTGAAAGGCAGAACGCCTGGTCACTAGATGCCCAGTTGCTATGACGTACACTGACCACTAGGGAGCAGACTCTCAATGCAGGAGCTGCCCCCAGCCCACAGGCCCCAATGCGGCCAAGGTGGGTGCCAGTGGGGGGCTCCCAATCACCCCGCCAGTTGCCCCACAGATCGGCCCTGATCGCCAGCCAGGCCTAGGGACCCTACCTGTGCACAAATTTTGTGCACCGGGCCCCTAGTGTAATTATAATCACCTAGGCTCAGAAAAGACCCAGGAGAGGCAAGCCCTCCAACAAGAAGCCTTTAAGTCTGATAAGCCCTTAGGTGTAGTTCCTCTGTCCAGAGGACCTCTCCCATCTTCTGTGACCAAGTGTAACTGCACCTGGATAATGCATTCCCTGTGATGTTAATGATCTGATTATTACTTAGAATGCTATTCACAGTGCTGACTCTTGTGGATTGTAAATCTACACCAACTCCCAAGGGCTGCTTATCTCTGAACTTTGGGCATTAATGGCATTATATATGTAACCAAAATCATAGAACTCATGGGAACAGAGCACAGAAAGGTAGTTTCCAGGGGCTGAGGTGTAGGAGAGATGGGGAGATGCTGTTCAAAGGATACAAACTTTCAGTTATAAGATGAGTAAGTTCGGGGATCGACATGTACAGCATACAATACAATGTAGTTAACAATACTATACTGTACACCTGAAGGTTGCTATGAAAGCAGAGCTTTGATGTTCTCACCACCACCACCACCACAACAAAATAATCATGTGAGGCAACAGACATGTTAATTAACTTTACTGGAGTGAACATTCTGCAACATGTATGTGTCAAGTCGTCACAATATACATCTTCCTTATGCAATGTTGTAGGTCAATTATACCTTAATAAACCTGGGGGGGGAGGGAAGAGCAGAATATACAAGTTTTTATATAGGCCCTGGTTACTGCTTTGAAAAAAAAATCACGTATGTCTATGGACAAGAGAAAGAATGTGACATGTGAGTGACGCAAAGGTCTTCACTGATGAGACCGCTTGACTTCTCCCGCCTCTGTTTTCCCCAGTGGTGACTATATATTTAGTCATTTTACATTCCTTTCAAAGTTTTGAAATTATGTTTGAAATTCCATTTAGGGAGCTTTAGCTCCTGGGGCTCAAGGCACATTCTTTTGAATAACGAGAAAGATCCTGAAGTGATCCCAAACCCTGGCTAGTGAATAATAGGAGGGGTGACACAGAACAGTAATGAGATTGTTTCCAGGCAATTCCTTACTGCCTCTGCCTCTGCCTCCAGGGGAAGCATGTCCATCACATGTCTAGCAGAGCCATCGCAGAGCAGCTGTGTGGCCTCCCAAGGCAATGCCTCTGAATAAGGTATTGCACATGTTTGCATTGCTGGTGGGAAACCCCCATCTTGTCACTTCTTAGTCATAGCACCATGTGCAGGTAAATTAAGAAAAAGCTTCTCGTGACATCATTCTTGATCACATACACAAGAAAACCAAGTATAAAGAAATGCCATATCTCTTGCCCCGCTGGTATAGCTCAGGGGCTGAGCGTCAACCTATGAACAGGAAGTCACGGTTTGATTCCCCACATGCCCAGGTTGCAAGCTTGATCTCCAGCAAGGGGCGTGAAGGAGGCAGCCAATCGATGATTCTCTCATCACTGATGTTTCTATCTCTCCCTCTCCCTTCCTCTCTGAAATAAAAAAATATATATACATATTTTTTAAAATGCCATGTCTCATGATCAGCTTTCTGTGATCAGAAGGACCAGAGATATGCGCAGCATGAACTGGAGAAAAGAAATAAAAAATAGATGGCAGCCTTGGATGCTTTACTCCAATACTTAGATGGTTTACAAAAACAAAGTTTTGCGCTTCCCATACATACAAGTATATGAGCTGAAGTCTTATTCAAAGTACATATACATTCCATTATAGCAAGTAATATGGAGTTCCAAGGAAGGACACGTGCAATACCTGTGTGATTAACATGAAGGCTTTTCAGAGAGCTCTTGAGGGTCAAGGTTAGGATCTAGTCATTGTTCTATAAACCCCTATATTACGTTTAATTTCTTTTAAAAATTACAATTCCTAGAGAACCATTTGTCCAGGATTCATCAGGTGCTATCTACTCAAAATGAGCATCAAGAGTTGCTATCACCTGAAATGACTGTGACTGTTTAAATTTTGATGATAAACAGCATGAATATACCAATATTTAATGTACAAAAATAGTTCTTTAATGAGATCATGAGTCTGTCATGAGCAATGCAACCACTAGTCAAAACAACTTCTACTTAATTGGCCAAAAGATAAACAAGAGGGGTAATCAGCCCCAGGCCAGGGTATATAAAGGACCCCGCAGGGGAGAAAGACATTCACACCTGAGAACACCCAACTCCTCTCACTAGTCCAACCCAGCCCAGTCCCAGACACACCATGACCGGCTCCTGCTATGGCTCCACCTGCTCCATCTGTGGGGGAGGCTGCTGCCAGCCCTGCTGCTGCCAGCCCTGCTGCTGCCGAGACCCCTGCTGCTGCCGCCCCTGCTGCTGCCAGACCACCGTGTGCCGCCCCGTGACCTGTGTGACCCACTGCACACGCCCCATCTGCGAGCCCTGCCGCCGCCCCATCTGCTGTGACCCCTGTGGCCTGCAGGAGGGCTGCTGCCAGCCTATTGCCTGCTGCCCCATATCCTGCACGGCTGTGTTCTGTCGCCACCGTATCTGCTGTGAGCCCTGCGGCCTGCAGGAGGGCTGCTGCTGCCCCATCACCTGCTGCCCCACGTCCTGCACGGCTATTGT